ATGGAAAGATCTGTTGCTCTCCTTATGTACTCCACGTATGGAATTTCGTGAATTTATGCATAATGGATGTACATTAAATTCATAACTAAACAAATGAATTTCACATTCAGCACACACACACACACAAATGATATGGGACCTTCTCCCAGTGCCGGCCGCCAAACAACGATATGCTGTGAAATAAGGCAAGTTTTAGTTGAGTTCAGTTCAGTTCAGTTCAGTTCAATTCAGTTTGGCGGTTGTTTTCGGTTTTAGTGGGTCATAAATGGAAAGATTTTTCACAGCTGATTGTGAGAAATGTGCTCGACTGAATGCCCCAGCACTGTGGAATAGTCTCCACAGTTTCGGACTCAAACCCCAGTGCCAGGTTCCCAGTTTGGCCGCAGGGCCTAATTGTGATCTTCGGTATGAGATGCTGTTTATACCCTATACCCAATATTCGTATGAGGCATGTATGAGACAGATTCTGTTATGGTCAGCATGTTCTCTGATATCAACAATTTCTACCTATGCATTTCTGTTAAGCACCAGATTCAACTTCTTCAAGAAATACAGCTTCCTTTACCCGGTTGGAAACTATATTCATTTTACAATCATTTTAAGTTTAACAGATTTAGTGGGTATCTGTTAGTCAGTATGTGTGACACACTCCCAAGTTCATTATGAATTTGGTTATGTGAGAAAGTAGCTTCGTATGTTGTTGGGGTAATAAAAGCCCATGTCTGAGGACTTTGAGCTTCAAAGTGGGGCGTCTCTTTAGCACCAGCGGCACCTGCAAACGCCGCTCTTCGACAGCTCCTCTTACCCGCTGGCTGGCATAACAGATCATTCCGAAATGAATCATATGTCTAAGCCAGAGATGACTACCATGAAAGCCAACTGGTGTTAGAAAGAGGCGTTTGCGCACCGATAATAAAACACATGAAAATGTATAAATCAAACGAAAAGCTGCTGCAATTCAACTAAAATATGAATTAAATTTTCCTTGCTTAGAAGCAGATGCGCATGAAATGAAAAAAATATATGAAACAAATGAGAATACGCTATCCGACTGGTAGATACCCAGTGCTCGAAAGTGTTGTGCTGCGTGTCAGGTTAATATATATAGTGTTAATAAAATATACCGAATTTGAAATGAATGTTATTAGTAGATCTGATATAGTTTATGGTTTATTGAATTGAAACAAGAACCTTACCTTATGTTGAAACCTTGAACAGAAATGGCAAAGACTTATATATTTATAATTGCTTCGATTTATTGGATTTGAACCAGTCAAGAATATGATTACTCTTTAAAATAAGGTTTTTTAATTAACAATAATTTGTTTATCTAAAAAAGTGGTTGGTTCTAGCAACTTTCTGAAATTTAGATATATAATTAAGTGTTGTTTGAAAAGTAAAATTAATATTCGGGGTTCAATAAGAACATCTTGCAAACAAATTAGTAAAAGAATATTTACTAGATGCCTTCTCCTTTCTATTAAAATAGTTTGTGCAGGCTTGTAAGCACTTTGATGTCTACAGGGTATATCATGTATATGTGCATATATCCAATTTGAAAGGTCTATTGAGAAAATATTGTTTTAAATGTGCACAGCGCTGAACTTGACCCAATGATATTTAGTTAGGCATTGCGGCACTGCCATGCTATGCCATGGAGGCCTGATCTTGGTCTAAGAAAGTGCCACCACCACTAACAGCAGCACCACCAGTTCCCAGGTTGCAGTGGCTGACAAATGACTAAGGTCGTATGCGGCCTTTGTCGAGGGGCGGGCTTAGTTTGGACGGGCGGTAAGAAGGTCGACGCTGCCTCTGACTTGTCTTGACTCGACTCGACTCGACTTGACTTGACTTGTGTTGAGCTGACTCCAAGTCTGACTCGGATGCATCACACACAGCTGCAAGCTGTGGCTGGGACGTCATCGCTTGACTTTAGCAGGTGTTCCGCTAGACAAAAGATGCACCAAGCAACAACAAAAACAACATTAAAAACAACAACAACAACAAATTGAAGCTGTTGATGCGCACGAATTCCGTTTTTAGCTGCAGCTTTTCGCGCGCTGTTTCCATTTTGTTGCAATAAAATTTTAATAAGATTTTTTATACTTAGAATATAGAAAACATATATGTATATGTGTGTATGGGCGACAGTCAATAAAGCTACGCTGCATCGTTTAAAATCGTGATGCAGCTCGACCGTTGCCTCAACACTTGCCCACTTGGCGATCGATCGTTGGATCGCTCGATCGAGCTCCATTTTTGTATTGCTTTGCATTCCCAACTCCTCCGATGCATCGCGATGGCTTCATCTCCGGCCATTTGCACTACTGCCATTGATATTGCCACAATGCTTAAACGCTTAAATGCTTAAATGCCTTATTGTTTATAGCAAAATGCAAATGATTTTTATTTTTTTTTATACGCTCAACGTTAAATGTTGTTAATGACAGTCGCAGTTGTGATCGTCTTGAAAGAGATGCACTTTTGGGTGTGGCGTTGTGTCTATTATAATATATTCTCGTAACTATAAATAATAATTGCAAAATCAAAGCCAGCTACGTTTATGCGTGGAAATATTTGTGAATAACACAGATTATGAATTGAACAGATATCGATTTTACATCCTTTTCATATTCGTTAGTGAAATATAAAGAGTTTACATTTTGTCAATCATCTTATGTCGAATATAATAATAATAATGTTAAGAGTACATTGGGATTGTTTGTATCTTTCCATGTGGTTGTTGAAGATAAGGTTTTGATACTTGGGATATCAACACGTACATATATACATGGGTATGAGAAAGTCTTAAGCTTGTAGGGCAACATCCACTAAGACATTTAGATTGTGAACGTGATTAAATTCGATATATATCGGTTTCTAATCGATAGATGATAACTGTGGTATTGTTAGCTTTGACAGTTTTCGAGATGTGCTTTGTTAGACCTGCAGAGATGGTTAAGAGAATTTATAATCTTCTCTATCTCTTTAAATTGAACCTCATCTTAAGGAACGAAAATTATGAAACAGTCAGCTATTTGAACAAGAACAGGAGCTGTCCTTCAAATGTTCTAGTTTTATATTTGTTATAGAATCATAGATAAGATTTGCTTGGCCTGAATCTAAAGAAAAAAACTCTTTGTTGATCACTTGTAAATATCAAAATTATTTAGATAACTTAATTATTTTCTGACTTCCAAGAAACCTTCTGCCGTCTGTTAAAAACATTCCCACAAAACGTTTTAAGAACCTTTTCGACCGCATATACAGGGTATCGATATGAAGCGGTTGCTCCTAACTCATACTAAATGATGATGACAGCCTAATTTCAGACATGCTGGGTAATTAAGCGAGACAAGGCTAAGGGCAGGGGTTCATTGGTTCGTTGGATCGCACTATCGATCGATCTCTGGTTCGGTTTTTCGGTAGCCCTTGCAATCGCTGGTGGCCTAATGACTGTATCAATGTTTGGCAGTATGTGGCAACGAGTAGGAGCTACAATTTATGTGCATGTTTGTTTAGCGGCGGACACGCTGCACACTTTAAGTACCGTGTGAGTGAGCATGAAATTGCCGCAGGACTTGGCTGGACTTGGCAGGATGCCAACTGTGCGCAACATATGTTCTGACTTTGAAATTTCCCAAAAAAAAAAGAAAAGAACACGACTAATTTCGTTAGTCTACGTGTGCTACGAGTACTTCCTCTAATCGCTGGCAGGAAGTTTGAATTGCGTTTTGTTTGCGGGCCCGCTGGAAAATTGTTGACATGTGACAGGACTTAGCCAGCAGCAGCAGGCCGACACGAGCATCTAATGCACATTTAAATAAGCCTTTTGTTGGCTTTTTGTTGCCGTCCATTATATGCGGCTCACAAATCCAGCGACTTTTCTCGACTCAGTCGTCGTCGGGCTAAGTACACGCACAGCGGCTTAGCCACATTGGTCAGATTGGCAGATCGGTCAGGACACTGCTTTTTCTTTTTCCCTGTTTTGGCCAGCTCTATGATCCTCTGGGCAACTCCTAATTACGCGCGTGAGCGCTCTAAATGCGGCAAATAGACATTTGTGAGTGGGGTTAGGGGAAATATTGTTGCTTGTTTAGGTCTAGCGACTGGTAATTTCAATTGTTATTATAATTCCTTTATTTTGCTTTTTATTTAAACTAAGCAGACACACACACACGCACATACACAGACATGAATACACACACGACACACGCACTTCTCGCATCGCTCATCCTGCAATGATCTTTGGCTTAGGCAGGTTTGTTTGCATTTTGTTGTAAATCTTTTTTCATATTTTATATTTCCTTTTTTTTTTTTTTTGGCTTGCATATTCCTTTTTTTTCTGGCAGCGAGGCGATTTTAATGATTCCTTTTCTCGGCCACGCCCACTCGGGCTATAGCTGGCCGAGTGCCCATCATAAATTTAATTTTCAAACGCGCTCGACCCAAGTGTTGACGGCAACATTTGATGGGCAACGGCAACAGCTGTTTGGCTGCCAGCGGTAAGGGTGTGGGTAGAGCAAAGGACTAGGGAGCGGGCGAGGGGCGACTGCATTGTGTGTGGCCGGCTAATTGAGTGACCAAGCGTGAGGGTCAACAGTTAAAACATATGAAACAGCAGCAGTAACAGCAGCAGTAGTTAAAATACATCTTAATTGGCAATGGACAGCAAGAAACTAACAAATTTGCTACCCAGTGCAAATTGATGCGGCATAAGAAATATTGCCTGGAAATAAACATATTAGAAAATTTGGAATTTGCGATTTGGTTGCCTTTGTTGGCGGCGAAATTGATCTAAATTGAATATATAACATTATCTCCGAAATTGTATACATATATTAATTACAATTGTGGGCTTAAAGTGTTTAGGGAAAGATTCAAAATTTTACCATGAGTGAAAAATTGATGAATAAATAAATTAAGAGATAAAAACTGTGCCATGACAAGACCAGAGAATGATTCTGCTATAAGCCGCTCTTTTTCTCTTCTTCTTTCAGATGTATCTATAATTTAAAAAAGGATGCCCCTCTTGCGAAACTTTTGCATTTCTGGGTAAGTGCATATTTTAATATTTATATGCCTGTATTTGCATTTAAATGAAGTAAAATGTATGTTAAGGAAATTCAGACCTGGACACGGACTAACTCCCAGTAATAATGTATTTATCAATATTTATAGTTAAATTGTAAATAACAATGTTTCCATATCTGCTTTAATCTGGGCTATGCATTTGGAAATCATTTTTAAGTAAGACTTTAAGGTGTAGGTCATCAGGTTCGAGAAGTGGTATTGAGGGGGGTTAGTTAGGCAATAGTATTTATATGTGTAGTCCGTAATAGTGCGATCATTATAATAGCATCATCGTTTATTTGCAATCATGCGGCACATTGATTAATAAACTGATTATTCATAAACCACAAGAGGCAGCTTCTTGTTAATGAGCCGTGCGATGAGTTAAGCCTGCGCTTCTATTCGGGCTTCGGGGTGATAAATTTTCGTTTCGTGTGAAGTTTGATAGCTGAGGTCATGCCGTGGATTTATTTCCATAGCTCATATATCATGCGGGCCCAACGAGTTATTAACGGGGCGGTAGCTAACACCTGCGTATTAGCTGAATTTCCGCATTGCTTGCTCTTACCCCAACGTCCAAAAATTAAACTCAATATCACAATCAAAACGAAACGAAACATCCACATCCATATACACAGTCGGAGCCCAGTCACTGCCCCAGACATTGACCCAAAAATATGATGGAAACGAACGCAATGTATGATCCAATCAGTTATAAGCAAGTTATGATATATTTTCTCTTTTTCCCCCGCCAATAATAAATCAAATGTTTTGTATATGATGACTTGGCGTGGGAATTGAAAACAGCGAAATAGTTTTAATATTGAAAGGTGAGCAAACAGCATCCACCAAATCAGGAATAGAAACAAAAACAAAAGGTAATCAATTAAATTTCTTATCATTGTGGTGCATCTCGAGTTTGAAAATTAAATGGGCGCCACACAAAACAGTCTAGAATATGCTGGCAGGTGAGATTGCTGAATGCTACAATACCCTGGAAAATAACAAGAGCAATACAAATGAGATACAAATGCACATGAATTGTTTTTATAATCATATTCGCTTTACACAACTGTATAAGCCCTGTGTGGCTCCTATTGCAGGGTATTGATATTGAAAGTGTTTTTTTTTTAATCACGAATAACTTGTAAGCTTTTGGAATTGATTTGTTTGGTTTTGGCAGGAAATGTTCAAGTTTGAACTTGCGCACACTCGAATTGGAAACAAGCTCTTCCAAGTCTGAATGATTGAAAATGCAATTACAAATCATTGACAGTTTGTTGTACTAATTTCGAGATAGACAGACAGAGAAGAGAGGCAGACCTAGATAGATGGTAAACGAGAGGGCAAGGGGTGGGCTGCTTTGGGCTCATCAATCATGTTTACAAGCAAGCAAACCATCTAGAGAATACGATCCTGCAGACAATGCAACAAAATTATATCATGTGTTAAAAGTTATGACGGATCATCGAAGGTGTAAAGTGTCTGAGGGGTAGCAATGACCGTTTTTTCTTTTTTTTTTTTTTGCACAGCTTGACTTTGAAGCTGTGCCACAATGCTCCGCTCCCCTTCCTGACGTGCATCCACTTTCCAATCATTACTCATCAGAGTTGACGACGCATTGTTGATGGGATTTCCGCTTTTGAAGGTGTAGCAACAAATACAAAAATACAGAATTACAAAAATACGATTGTACAAAAAACGGCCAATCAAAACGAGCCAAACAAAAGGATCGTTCAATATTTTTGATTCCATATTGACAGGCGGGCATACAAATTGCTTGATGATGCGCCCAGACACTCAGTTAGCCAATCGCTCGTTGTTGTTGTTGTTGTTGTTATAAATTAGCTCAAACTTCGTATATACAATGCAACACGGCCATCAATCATTAAAAGCCGAAAAGATGAAAAAAATAAAAGTAAAAACAAATACCAACCGAATGCGCAGTTTAAAAAGACAGTTCGTTTAACAGCCTCTAGCGATAAGTACGAAAAGTACGAACTGAGGTTGGCTGAATCTGGCATCTGGTTTGCTTTAAAATGCCCACTTAGTGTCCAAATATGGCAAAGATGAGCAGTTCAAATGTCAGTGAAGTCTTGTTCCAGCTGCATCTTGAAGCCTTCATCTGCAAAGTGCGCCACCAACATCTTCAGCTTTTTGCTAACCTTAATTGACTTTACGCAAGAATCAAAAAAAATATATATATATGTGTGTATAATGCTGAGAGAAGACTAGAAAATTATCATGCATTGTCTATCGTTTTGCTGTCAAAGCTCAATATCTGTGACTATCAATTGTTTTCACATCTGAGTTATCTTTTTAATTTCGCGCAACGCTCCATGCTCCACGCTACATAATTTCAACTTGCAGTTGGCCTGACCCGGGTCAAAGTTGAGAGTGCCATGTGTGTGCGCCGCGGCGTTGTTGTTGTTGTTTTCCTAGCTATTTGCTGGACTAGACCCGGCTCTCGGTGCTGCTCAGTGCCCACAGTCAACGCTGGCCATGTGTGTAAGTGTATGTCGCGTGTTTCATTAAGGCGACAAACAACAAACCTCAACAGCAGACCCAGACCCGGCCTCAGATTTCCAGCGATGATCATCGGCGTCGTCGTCGGGCATATTGTGACCTCAAAAATTGCGAAAAAATAACGAACGTGCGGTAAAAGCGTCGCCAAAGGAACACTAAAAAAAAAAAAGCTAGAAAACTAAACTGCATTTTAATGCTATTAAAAAAGATTCCTTCCTAGAATATTTCCTATAAATGCAATTCTATCAATATCAAAATATTTTTGAAATATATTTCGTTATTTTTTAATATCCAGGAGTTGTGAACGTTTCAAATAGTTTAATCTATTTTTTTCTTATCCTTTTTGGTGATTTCTTTAAAGATTAAATTGAGTTTAAGAAAATCTTGGTGAAGTTCGAAAAGTATTCTAAATGCTCGAAAGTTGCAAAAAATCTAGCAACAATAAAATATTAATACAATAAAAGGAAATCTTGTTGTAAATCTTGCTCCAACTGGAAAATTTGTGAGAGAAAAGGTAGTCTCCTTATGCCCAGCATGCTCCTTTTCTGCTTTAAGAGTCAAGAACCTCATCAATTTCTCACAGTGCACACTTACTGCCTCGGATGGAGGCAAACCTCAGAGATGGCCTGGCCAAAACGGCTGGGGCAGCCTCCCAGTTTTTGGCTTTGGCCTGTCTGTGAGTGTGTGTGATTGTTGCGCTGGTAGTTACGTTGCGCATTGTAGACGCGATGTGCCACACCTGTTTCATGTTGCAGGCTCTGGCTGAGGTTGAGGCTAAGACTCCACGGACTGTGGACAGACGCAGGAGAACCAGCCGCTGAGCCAGCAGCCTTGTGAGAATCTTTTTTGGTTTGCCGTGTATGTGTGCACAACAATTTTTGGTCTCTAACTGACCTTAGAGCTGTTGATGTTGCAGTTGTTCTTGTTGTTGCTGTTGCTGTGGCTGGTAACGCATTTCTTTTACTGCTAGGCGGTGTTGGTGGCTGATAATGATGGACTGTATTAACCGTTAGCTGGCTGCCTGCCTGAATGCCTGGCTGCCTTGGCTAGCTGTACGACAAGCGCTGGCAATCAGTGGACATTTTGATATTTGGTTTTTTTTTTCGTTTCTGTCTTGGTTTTTGGGAAAGACATTTTATTCGCTGGCCCCCCAACGCTTTCACTCTTTGGAGCTTGCCAAAGCTCGCATCAGTCCCTACCCTACGCTAAAACAATTTGAACTTGTCAAGGCTAATCAGTTTTCCTTTCATTTAGCCAGACGTTTACGACACCGACGTTGATGCATGGCCATGTCAGAGCCACAGTTCAAGCGACGAACACCAACAACAAAACCACCGAACAACAAATACAAACAGCAACAAGCACTCTTTGTCGCAATTATCAAAAAGCGCGCAAATTTTCACACGCGGCCTATCATGGCACATTGCTGAGGCATCTAAGTTGTCCACACATCAGCACTAATTACGGCTCATTATAGTGACCAAAGTGTAGCATGTTGTCAGCTGGAGGACAACAGCAATAGCCCCGCTGACGATCAACGACAACCAGCGACGAGTGGCAACAATTACAAGCCGCAACAAGCGCATTGGGCTCCAACATCTTTGAGCCGAACCTCAGTTGCACTTATAGAACTACTCAAGGGATTATCCCAACTAGATGCTTTAGTATGGCATTGCCTGATGCATCTGAAGAATTAATAGATAGTTTTTAATTGAATGATATAATATCCGGTGGGAAGACAGCACTAAAGTCCTAGAAGAACTTCTTTCGATGTTATTTAATTCATTGATTAAATAATTAAGTCTAATAGGTTCGAAAGTTACCTGAAATATTTGTTTCCATTCAGATGAAGATTTTACTTATCTTCAACTTTGGCTATATTCCTCTTCCATTCCATAATTTTAAAAATAATTTCTTGATTTTAAGCTCTCGCTATTTTTGACATAAGATTGTAATTCGCAAGCGGCTGTTGCGCTAATACAATGAGGTTTACAGCTGTGATTCTCCCCTTGCATTACAAGCTACATGTCTAAGTGATTAGACCCGATTAGACTACTGCAACTAATGCGACTCGTGGCGCAGTCAGAGAGAGATCTGAGGCAGGCATCTAAACACCTGACAGTTGTTGGCGAGTGTTGGCGCTACAATGTGACCAACAGACAGTTGGTCAGATTGTTGGTCGTTGTTGTCATTGTTATTGTTGCAGTTGTTGTTGACGTCTCTGAACGTTTTGTCTGGCTAACCATTTTTGGCAGTGACGACGACGCCAGGTCTGAGATCTAACTACATAAATTGAAAGTAACAGAGAGAACGCGCTAAGGTTGCAACACCAAAAGCAAATTTTGTATTGGCAGAAATTCTGTGGCACATGCATTATCACATAGACAAAAGCCAAAAGTGTCGTCTTAACAATTAAATTCTTCAGTTATAAACTGACAACAACAACATGAAAAACA